TGAGGCGGGGGAGGGGGCCGGGAGGGGAGCGCCTGGGAGGAGCTGAGGGCTCCTCGCGAAAGTGCCCGCAGCGCCCGGAAGCGTCCAGAGGCCCCGATGCTGGGAGATGAGGAGGCCTCTTGGGGAACTACGACGACTCCAGCGATGACGCAATAGTCATGCAAAATTATACATATATATTTAAACTCCACCCGGAAGGCAGGATCCATCGGCCTCTACGTGCACAACAGAACTAGAAACCGGGACGGAAGAAAGACCAAGAGGATTAAAAAAATTTTTTTCATTAAGGCGGGTAGAGTGATGGGGGAGGGGTAGTGGTCGACCCTGGGCTAGAAAGGAGGGACCCCTAGGTGATTGCTGGGGCCCCCTTCCCACGACCACCCAAGCCGTTTGCAGAAGAAGCTTGAATCCTTTACTTTGAAACTGGTGACTAAGGGAGTTACAGCATCTTGAATCATGGAAGCACCCCAGAACCAGCCAGAAAAGGGAGACACCGCTGGCTTTGGACCCCACAAATGTACCTTTGTTCCCCCTGGAGGAGACATTCTCTGAGGCCCCCTGCAGCCCCCAGTGCCCCTCGAAGGAGTTAGGTTGTGATCCCTGAGGAGCCACACACTACGGTGCTCTAAGCCTTGGCCTGCGATCCAGGCAGCAACCCCTGTGTCCCTGCCGGGGCAAAGCTCGGAAAGACTGGGCTGCCCAGGTCCCATTCCCTGACCAACAGTGCTGCTATGAACATGAGGCACTGGGGGAGAGGGCTGGCGGAGAGCAGGTACTCTTGCGCTGACGCTGCACCCCCTGCTGACATGAGAGAAACCACTTCCTTTCATTGATTCACAGGATTAGAAAATGCTGTGTTGAGAGGCAGTGCAGAAGTCAACCGGACCATCTTCCTTAGACTCCTTAGGTGGTAGGTAAGCACACAGACCTAGAGAGGTGGAGTGGTTATCTCAAGGCTTCCAGCCAATTCCAGCACTCAAGGACACTTCACTTTGGGAAATGCTCACTGTTAGGTCCCTGTGCCTCACTTCTGAGGCCTCAACTCTCAAACCCCAAATCTGACTTCCATCGTCCCAGGAGGACTTCCTGGATTACTGGTAGTTCCTTGTGGAATCACGCTCAAGATCTCACCAGATCCCTCCAAATGCATCCAAGTGCGGGTAGGCATGTGCATTGCCCGCTGCAATGAATCTGGAAGAAACTTTGTATGAAAGACAAGAAAGGCAGCTTTGAAGTCAGATCTTGGTTCAAGGTCACCTGCCACTTAGAAGGGAAGAAAGGAGGACTTGCTCCCTTTGCCTATAGGACCATTTCTTCAGGCAGCATTTGCTGGGTCCCGTATTCTGAAAGGAAGTTCTATCGAAAGAGGTTAGGAGCTACTGGAGTCTACTCAGCCAGGAGAGTGCATTTGGTCCCTGATGCTAGTTAGAGGCCCACTTCTCTAGGCCTCAGCTTTCTCATCTATAAATGTGAGCGCATCCATAAGAATGAGAACAGGTCTCACCCCTGAGAACTCTAGGGTGACTCAGAATGTGTCCTGCTTACAGTTTTAGGACAAGAGGAGAAGCAGTTGTTGGAGACATGGGGAAGGCCTTTATGAGGATGACAAGGTCTCTCCCAGGACTGGAGCGGGGAGGCTTCCCCAGTTCAGGACTCTGGCCTCCCACTTCCTATTGGGCAGGCATTTACTAGACATCTAAGGAGCTCGAGGATCAGCTCCAGAACCTTGAAAAATGTCAGGGCCCCCAGGTCCTGGGTGGTCTGGGAGAAGCTCTGAAAAAGTCAGAGCACTTCCCGTGGGGAACTGATGTCAGATGAATCATGCAGAGGTGACTTCATTGGTGATGATGACTTCATCCCTTTGGCCCATAGAAAAGCCAGAATTGACTGCCAGGAATACTCAGTGCTCTGGGTTGATTCCACTAGTGTGTATGCGGAGTGGGAGGGGGTATTATCCTGGATGCCCCAGATCAGCCCACAGATGGGTTAGCTGGAAGGACCACATAGGTTTCAGCAGAAACCTTTTTCCTATGGGCAAAAAGGATAATGCCTCACGTGGTCAAAACAACAACAAAAATAATTCTCAAATTTCAGGGGCTTGAGAGACAGAAATCAACTTTGTTTCTAAGCATCCCATAGGCTTTGTGCTTGCTTTTCTCCTTCTGGGTCAATTGCATATATCAAAACATACAATACTCTGTGTGAGAATCGGGAAATCTCTACTTAGCCTTCTCTTTTTCCTGTAGTTCCTACTCTTCGTTGATTCATCCAGTACTTCATTTAACAAGCATTTATTGGGGTTTACTAGATGCCAGGCTTTATTCCTGGGCAGGGGATAAAGAGCTGGAAAACCGCAATCGCTGGAGGGAGAGGCAGAAAGGAACTGATGAGCAAATAGATAATTACTAAATAATGGGATCAGTGCTGCGGTAGAGGATAAAGAACAGACTTCTGGAAGTGCAGGGGAGGCTGTTAGTACCTAGCTGAAGAAGGATTTGCAGAAGGGTGTCGTTGGCCTGCGGTTTAAGAGGCTAATAGGAGCAAGATAAGAGTGCCTGAGAAAGACAGCCCCACACCAGGGCAAGAAGGAACAGCACACAACTTCCTGGGAACAGTGAGCCAGCTAGGGGGACAGGGTGCATGCAGGATTAGTGGTGCCGGGGAACTGCTTTGTATTTAATTGGGAACTATAATATTGATTGTGCTTCATGCAGAGGTTCCCGTTTCTGTCATACCTACCTTCTGTCTTAACCTGTTCTGGCTGCTATAACAACATACCATAGACTGGGTGACATCAACAACAGGAATGTATTTTGCATATTTCTGGAGCTAGAAGTCTGGGATCAGGATACCAGTGTGGTTTGGTGAGGGTTGCAGTCTTGTTGTGTCTTCATATGGGAGAAGGCATTAGGGAGCTCTGTCCAGCCTCTTTCTAAGGGCATTAATCCCATTCATGAAGGCTCTGCCCTGGTGACCTAATCACTTCCAGAAGGTCCCACGTACTAATACCAATACTTTGGGCTTTAGGTTTTAACATACAAATTTGGGGGAACACATTGAACTTATAATACCTTCCTAATGTAAGTAACTTGGAAATTGCACAAAATATACAAGACCACTGTTTTCCGCAATTGGACAGCACATAGCAAGGGCCAGTGATTCCTAGAAGAACAGAACAAATGAGGCAAGCTCTGCTATCACCCTAACTTTCTACTGGAAGTACTTTCTGAATTGCAGCATAGTGAGGGGGAACTGAAGTAGATGACAGTGGCTTTGCTGAATTGAGAAGATAGCTAAGGAGACTTTTCAAGACGGAGTACCAGAATGGAGGGAGTATAACAACATGATCCTCTTCCATCTGCTGCTGATACTAAATTGTGCATTCCTAGCGTGAAACTCCACAATGCTAGGCAAAGAACTGCCCGAGAACATGAGCTGCTTGGTTCCCAGGGCTCACACCAAGTTAGGTGTTTGAGTTCCAACCAGCCAATACGAAGGGACTTTATAGAATGTCCAGAGGATTCAGTAGAAACTACAGGAGGGGTGCACATTTGTAGAGGGGCTATATTAGCCCTAGAGTAAAAGTAACTCTAGGTGTCCCCCCAACAAAGTTTATAAACAAGCCTCCTAAAGAACAAGTTCATCCACTATTACCATAAATGCCAGGCAAAATGAATTCCATCATTTTTAAAGAACAGCAACATAATAGAGACATTCAACAACATAAAATTCAGAATGTCAAGAATTGCTAGACATGCAAATAAGTAGGAAAATGTAATAAGGAGAAAAACCAGTCAGTAGAAACAAACCCAGAAATGAGAAATAATGGAATTAGCAGATGGGGATTTTAAAAGGTACTATAAATATACACAAGGATTTAAAGAAAAATGTGAATATGGAGAGGTGAAGAATGGAAGTTATAAAGAAGAACCAAATAGAACTTCTAGAATTGAAGAACTCAATACCTGAAGGGGAAAATTCACTGGCCGGTTTTAGCAGCAGATTGAACATGGTAGAAAAGAAAAAATCTGTGACATTGAAGACATAACAATAGAACCTATCCAAACTAAAGCACACAGAGAAAAGGCCTAAGAAAATAAAACAAAACACAATTGCTGTGTCCTAAACCACATTCCTAAGGCCTTTAGTTAAAAGGTAGACATTTCCAACAGATTCCATAGGGGGCAGGGCTAACCTTCAACCCCTTTACAACAATGGAGTAGAACAGGTTGTAAATGAAATCATTTCATGTTGGTTGGTCAAAGCCCCCTGCCCTGAACCCTCCTCCCCCAGGTGCCCCAGACCCCAGGCCTTTCCCTGGCTCCCTCTGACCTCCTGAGTCAACATAAAGGGTTAATGCCTGACAAAACCCTGTTGCAACTGAGGCAGGACGACTCTGGTTGGTTAGCTGTTAATTGTGTTGAGTGTCGTCTCTGATTACGGGACATGTTAGGACTGTGGGAGCCTTCTTGGGCTTTCAAGTCACTTTCTGAGAAGAATAGACTCAACTAGAGGATCTGGGCAAATTCATCCAAATAACTTACATTTTTAAACTTCGTATTGAGCTCTGTGTTCTAGGAGTGTGGTCAGGACAGGAGGAGGTACCCCTCAGGACAGGCCACAGCAGCACTCTGCATCTTCCCTTTCCTCTCTCTTCTCCAAGAGGGTTGCAAACCCCTAAAGTTGTGACAGTCTATAGGGAAGACTGTTTCCTCACCACCCATCTATTCATCTATCTATCCAACGATAATTATTATTAAGTGATCTCTGTGTGCTTGACTCTGTGGGAAGTACTAAGATGAATCAGAAATAGTACTTTCCCCAATAAGGTCATCACGGAAGTCCCTACCCATGGTGAAGGGCAGAGTGGAATGGATACACTCTCTTCCTTGTGTCAGGCATTGAGATGTGCCTCTTAGCAGAGGTGAGGTCAGCCAGGACCTCTCAATTGAGAATTAAGTCAACCATAAAGCGATGTTTGGCATCTGAATATGTCCCCTGAGCTGAGGACTGTGTGTTTCTGAGCAAGCAGAGCATCTGCACTCCTTGGGGCTGTTCCTGCCTATAGCTCACTGGAGGCTTGTCCTGGGGCTCCTTGCTCTCCTCATCCTTTCTCCCAGTCTTCTGCAGGCTCCCTGGGCTCTGGCCTGGGCCTGCCTCTCCACAGACAGCTCGAGAACTGTGGTTCTAGGAAGGGCAGATGAGGGGCAGGGTATTTTGTGAATGGCATCTGACATTTACCTAGCACTTCACAAAGCTTGCTCATCCTTACATGTGGCTTTCACAGCTCCATTGACAAAGCAGCAGAATTCCTCATTAATATCCTTATTTTATAGATGAGGCTTTGTGTCTTTATCCAGATGGAATTCAGGCAGATTTTGAGCCTTTATCCAAATTGCCTGGCCTATGAGTGACATCAGGACTGAAACCTGAACAGAGAGGGAGGAAGGGGGAGAGAGAGAAATCGATCAGTTGCCTCCTGTACACACCTTGAGTTGAGGATCAAACCCACAATCTAGATATGTGTCCTGACCAGGAATCGAACCCTCAACCTTCTAGTGGACTGGACAACGCTCCAACCAACTGAGCCACACTGGCTAGGGGAAGGTGTGAATTCTTTTAAAAATATATGTTTTTATTGATTTCAGAGAGGAAAGGGGGAGAGAGAGAGAGAGAGAGAAACATCAATGATGAGAGAGTATCATTGATAGGCTGCTTCCTGCACGCCTCACACTGGGGATCAAGCCCACAACCCAAGCATGTGCCCTGACTGGGAATCAAACCATGACCTCCTGGTTCATAGGTGGATGCTGGGCAAGGTGTGAATTCTTAATGTAAATTATTTGAGGAGAAATGTTTCTTGCCCTGTCTGGTTCTGGCCGGTGCAGGCATTAGCTTTCTCCTGCCCTGACCAAAGCCTGCTTTGCACTGGGGGCGGAGTTCTTGGATTAAAATTGTATGCGTCCCCTTACTCATCAGCACTGAAAAAGAGTTGAAGCTTTCTGGGCACTTTTGATTTTCTCTCTGATGTCTCCGTTTACTTCCAGACCAAATGAACTCTCTGGCTCATGCTCTTCTCCCTCAGCTTGCTCCAAAGGTAGCACAGTCTCTGCTTCCCACATCCTCACCTTGAGCTGAGCTGCTCGGCTCGGTGAGTTACAGCAGGCTGCCAGGGCCTGCCCCTGACTCATCAAACCTGCCAGCTGGCTTTGTACAACATCTCCTTCTACCCCAAAGCCCGTCCTTGTGTTCTTATCCAAACCCTCACCCAGGCAGTCTCGACATGGCACTTATTTGGCTTATAGCCAGACTCTCCTGCCTCTGCTAATCTTCTTAAACCCAGGTTTGGCCAAGTTCCAGCCCTGCTCAGAAGCCTTTGATGGGTCTCCTTTGCCTAATGCCCCAATCTCAGTCTGACATTTCCAACCTTCCCCAGCTGAACACCAGTCTTTCTGGGCACTGCTGACACCCACTGCCACTGCAGGCCTGCTTGCTGCTGCCAACCCAATCTACTCTCTGCACCCAGACCTCCTACACATCCCCACAACTGTGCCATGGCCCACAGCATTCTCCCCATCTAGAGGTTCTCTCTTTCTGCTTATCTCAATGACCAGTCCCACAATAACCATCTTTACTCCTGCCTCCTGGATTGACCCCTTCCCCCAAGACCACTCCTTCAGCTGACGCCTACAGCAACTCATTCTGCGTCTTCTCCTGGCTCTTATCCCATCCCATTTTGGGTGCCAAATACCTTTGCACATTTCTGAACCAAGGTTCTCTCAATTGTGTAGAGTCAGGTATCCATAACAACCCAATCGATTCTTGTCTATTTGGATAAGTTCTCCTTAGTAAATACTACCAACTTGCTACTTTTTTTTCTATGTTCTTTTTATTATTATTATTATTATTATTATTATTATTATTACTAGAGGCCCGATGCATGAAATTCATGCACAGGGGGGGCGGGGGTTGGTCGTCCCTCAGCCTGGCCTGCAACGATGCCAGCGTCCTGCGCCCAGCCTCTGGCCAGAGGTCCCCCCCTCCACGCAGCTGGGGCGCGGGACGCTGGGCTCACATCGCTGGGGCAACGTCGCCATTGTCTCCCCCTACCCCCACCCTCCGCCGCTATGGGCACCGCCATCTTTGTTGCAGAGTGACAGTCAACTAGAGGCCCGATGCATGAAATTCATGCACAGGGGGGGCGGGGGTTGGTCGTCCCTCAGCCTGGCCTGCAACGATGCCAGCGTCCTGCGCCCAGCCTCTGGCCAGAGGTCCCCCCCTCCACGCAGCTGGGGCGCGGGACGCTGGGCTCACATCGCTGGGGCAATGTCGCCAGTGTCTCCCCCTACCCCCACCCTCCGCCGCGTTGGGCACCGCCATCTTTGTTGCAGTGACAGTTAATTTGCACATTACTCTTTTATTAGATAGGATTTTTAAATCTTTATTGGTGAGATTATTACAGATGTCCCTCTTTTCTCCCCCCTTGCTCCCCTCCACCTGGTTCCTGCCCTGCCCCAGGCCTTTGCCATCTTATTGTCTGTGTCCATAGGTAATGCATATATGCATATATGATCTTTGTTTAATCTCTTCCCACTCCCCACACCCCCTTTCCCTCTGAGAACCATCAGTCTGTTCCATTTCCATGCTTCTGATTCTATTTTATTCACCAGTTTATTCTGTTCATTAGATTTCTTATTAGTTTATTTTGATTTTTAGATTCAATTGTTGATAGGTATGTATTAGTTGCCATTTTGTTGTTCATATATTTGATCTTTTTCTTTTTCTTCTTCTTCCTCTTCTTAAAAAATACTATTCAACATTTCATACAATACTGGTTTCATATAAAAGCTAACTCCTTTAGCTTTTTTTTTTTTTTCTCAGAAGCTCTTTATCTGACCTTAAATTCTAAATGAGAGCTTTGCTGGGTAGAGTAATCTTGGTTTTAGGTCCTTGCTATTCATCACTTTGAATATTTCTGGCCTGCATAGTTTCTGTTGAGAAATCAGCTGACAGTCATATGGGCATTCCCTTGTAGGTAACTAACTGCTTTTCTCTTGCTGCTTTCAAGATTCTCTCTTTGTCTTTAGCCCTTGGCATTTTAATTATGATGTGTCTTGGTGTGGTCCTCTTTGGGTTCCTTTTGTTTGGGATTCTGTGCTTCCTGGACTTGTAAAGTCTATTTCTTTTACCAGGTAGGGGAAGTTTTCTGTCATTCTTTCTTCAAATAGGTTTTCAATATCTTGCTCTCTTCTTCTGACACCCCCATAATGCAGATGTTGGTACACTTGAATTATCCCAGAGGCTCCTTACACTATCTTCATATTTTTGGATTTTTTTTCTTTTTCTTTTTAAAAATATATTTTATTGATTTTTTACAGAGAGGAAGGGAGAGGGATAGAGA